CCGGCCCCGCCCAGGGCAGCGCGCCAGAGCCTCCGGAGAGGGCGGCGGCGGCGGCGGCGGGAGGAGGAAGCGGCTCCCCTCCGCCCCGTGTCTTCACCCACCGTGCCCCCGGTGGCAGCGCACAAAAAACAGCGCCGCGGGCAGCAGGAGTAGCGGCAGCATCGCCCGTTACGTCCCGTCGGGGCGGCCAGCGGAGAATGACGGAGCCGGAGGGACCCAAGGAGGCGGTGCTGCTGCGGTGGCCCCGCCGCCAGTCCCTTTCGCTTCTTCTGGGCATTCCCCGCGGACACCCCCTTCTCGGGGAATGTCCCTCCGGCCCGCGACTCCTCTGGGCAGGTTTCGGTGGGAGCCCCGGCGGCGTAAGCACAAGGGAGTCCCCGCCGGGGAGGATTCCAGCCCCTTCCTGCCTTCCCGCCCGGTGGGGTCTCAAGAATCGACCTCTCTGCTCTGGAAGCCGCCATTAACCCCGGAGACCTCTCTCGCTTTCGGCGGCCTCCGATTCTGGCTTCCAGGACGTCTGCCCAGCCTATGAAACGGCCGTGTCCACGCCGAGGCTACCCTGCTTTGGACGGCCGCGAAAAGGCCAGACTTTGCCTTTGGAAAGCCGGAAAGCAGTCGTGAAATGGTGGTGAGGGTGGGCGGGGGGAGGTGGGCGGACGTGAGGCGGAGGGGCGAAGTGAAAGGAACCACAGCAGCGTCTCAGCCGGGCGATTAGCAACAGGAAGGCCATTGATTCGCGGGGTCTCCACCCTTTGGCACGAGCGCCTTGACCAAACAAGGCAGCCCCTCCGAGGACGGCTCTGCGGCCGAGAGGGGGCCCAACAAGCGTCTCCGTCGAGGCTCTGCCCCAAAGGCAACGCCTCGTCCAGGCTTTCGGGGGGGGGTTTGTCACATGCGGCTGACGCCCTCCTCCGGGCCTGCGAGGGTCCCACGGAGGTGGCCCTACTGTGCCTCTCCGAGCGGGGTGGGCGGCGGCCGGGAGAGCCGGAGGTTAAAACTTCCCCAAGCTCTACAGACGCGCGCCGCCGGAGGGCAACGTTGGCCAAGCGTGGCTTCCCTCGGGAGACTCCTGCGCAGCGCGCTCCGCTTCGCATGAAACCAAGCAGGGCGGTGGGGAGCGAGGCAACCGCAGGAGGAGGAGGAGGAGGAAGGCAGGCAGCGGCCATCGGGTTGAGGGGAAACGGACAGCGCTTCGGAGAAACGAGCTTCGCCGCTCTCCCCCCCTCCCCACCCCGCCCGCACGCGCGGCCTTTCCCTGACGGACCAGCTGCCTGGCCCGGAAAGCAGAGCCACGTCTGCCTGGAGGCGCCTCCTCCTTCAGGAAGCCCGTCCATCTCTGAATGACTCAAGCCCCTTCCTCATGACAAGGCAGCAATCCGTGAAGGGGTTGACCCTGATGTTGGGAAAGTGTGAAGGCAAGAGGAGAAGGGGACGACAGAGGACGAGATGGATGGACAGGGTCATCCAAGCGACCAACATGAATTTGACCCAACTCCGGGAGGCCGGCCGTGGAAGACAGGAGGGCCTGGCGTGCTCTGGTCCATGGGGTCATGAGGAGTCGGACATGACTTAAGGACTAAACAACAAAAAAATTATGTTGTTGCTAGATTTTATGGCATTTTATCAATAATATCAGAAAAGTTATTATTCTATGTATTGTTTTAGGGTTGTATGCCATTGTAGGTTTCTTTGGAGAGAAGAATGCCATATAAATGAAAATAATAAACAGAAAAGAAATACAGTAAATGGTAAACTTGCTCTGGAAACCATAATGATGAAACAGAGGTTTTGGGCACCTCATGAGACAACAAGATTTGCTGGAAAAGACAATAATGCTGGGAAGGGTGGAAAGCAGCAGGAAAGGAGGAAAGCTGATATGAAATGGATTAACTTCATTAAGGAAACCACATCTTGAGTTTACAAGAACTGAGCAGGGCTGTGAAGGACCAGACATTGTTGAAGTCACTCATTCATAGGTTGGCCATACGACGGAGGTGATTTGGTGGAATGTGACAGCAACAACACCCACTTTATCAGACTATAAAGGGGATTCTGCTGGGCTAGACAGGGCCTTGGGTCTGATCAGCTGTGGGACTTCTCCAGTGCCTATCTGGCAAGGGAGGGGCTCCTCAACACACACACACACACAGACATCCCTCATGTCTAAAAAGTGCCACAGAGGAAAGTGCTCTGCTTGGCTTGCTGGGATTCAGGTGTCCAGGAACCCACCAAGACCTAGTCCTAGGGAGCTCATTTTCACATCAGGGGTGAGACAGAAAAGAGGGAGAAGCATATTCCTGAGCAAGTGGAGAGCATCTTGGCTTCATCATAGAGCACCTCCAGCTTCTCAGCCACATCCTCTTCCCTCCTTTCAAGACTACAGGTGTTCACAGATGTCCACAAAAATAGTGTAGGCATATGGACAGTTTTGCTGAGTTAGTTTGAAAAGGTAGATATTTGCAAATATAAAATATGTTATTTGATACTGGCTAAAGATTAGGTGTGTTTGGGGGGGGTATTTTCCCCCCTGCAACTGCCTATGTCTGATTAAAGCTGATTTTAAGATTTAAATGCACCCACAATAGAGGCTTTTGAGGCTTAAAGCAACCCAGAGAGCAAGCTGAAAGTGACAGAATTGTTCTTTAAAACAGTCAGATATTTTTCCTTTTTAAAAAAAGTGGGAGGGAGGGAGAGAAACTGCTTTAAATGCTTTCTTGATTTGTTTGAAGCAACACCATAATCACTGTAATGAGTAATCTTTTATAACAGGAAGAACAGCACCAACTTCCCTAAACAAAGAACTTGGAGGAAGTTGTGCTAAAACAGGTTAGCAAAGAATAGGAGATGGGGTGTTCTCAGGAGGAGGAGATGGAGGAGGAGGAGGTACCATCCGAGAGTGCAAGCCAGTGTGCCAGGAGCAGCCACAGAGGGAGGGCTGCCGGTGTGGGTAGAATTCCCACTCCACCAGCAGAACAAGGAGAGGAACGGAGGAATCTGTAAGTGGAATCCACTTCCCCACCACACACAGACACACACAGACACAGACACGGCTCAGATCCATCAGCATCACCTTGATTTCTGTGCAGATTGCAAGCCAAATGGAACCACCATCCCCTCTGAGGGAAGCCGAGGAATCACACCCTCCTCTGGAGACCAACTAAAGTCTGATCCTGTGCTGCTCCTGTGAGGTCTGGGAGTCGTTCTCTCAGCTGTTGGGCTGCACTGAGCCGCCAGCATCAGGGCCATGCACAGCAAACATCTCTCGTAAGCGCTTCATGGACTGTGAGGGGTGGGCTGTTTGTCTCTCGCTCCATGGGATGCCTGCTGGGCTTTCAACCAGGCCCCTGCCTTTGAAAAGTGGATCCAAGGCAGGAAGAAGCAAAGCAGGCCATTCATGTTGCTATAAAGTTAAACAACCCCTTTTGGGAAACATGTCACTGTTGGCTGTTCTCTCCATGAGGTTCCAATGGCCATGTCTTTTGTTTACTTGTTTTCGATCCTCAGGCAAACTAAAGCCACCTTTTCACAGAAACCAAAGGGCAAAGGGTGTGTCCTGGAACTCACTGGGCTTGGCTCCAGAGCTCTCTTGAAGAACCAGCCCAGTCTCTAATGATATGGAGTCATAACAAGGAAAGAGGATGTCCTTGAGAATGTGCAGAGTTCCCTTGCATAACCACAACCAGCTTATACACCTCTGGGACTGGGAAGGAAAGGATCACCAAAGCAATGAGCAAAAATCCCTGGACTGGTTTATTTGGCAACCCCCTGTCTGTCCCCCCCCCAACTATTTTTCATAAATGTTGTGCATTCCCATTGACAGCAGAAAAGGGCTTTGGTTTTTGTGTGTGTGTGTGTGTTTTTTTTGAAGAAGTGGGTGGGAGATGTGGGGAGGGGTGGGAGGGTCTTCCCCACTACCTGCTCCTCCTGCCCTACTTTTGTCACAGGTACTGCCTCCTGCAGAGTTGGCCAAGCAAAATCGGCTCCACCATGGTCGCAGCCTCAGGAGGAATTTGCTATTTTATTTATTTACTTATTTACAATATTTTACCCCACCTTTCTCCTTTAAAATGACCAAGGCAGCTTACATCATGAAAAGGACATTTTAAGAGGTGAAAACTGTAAGCATACAAATATTTTTAAAAAGTAAACAAATATAATATTAAAAACAGTAAATAATACTGAAACACACATTTAAAGCAACCAGACACAAAAATCCATTTTAAAAAACTCTCTCAGGCTGCCTGAAGAGGCAAGTTTTGGCCTGCTCGCAGAAGGAGAGCCAAGAGGGGCCAGGCTGGCCTCCTGCGTGCATGCGTGCGTGTGGGGGGGGAGTTCCAGAGTCTAAAGGAGCAGCCACAGAGAAAGGCCCCCTCCCGTCTCCCCACCAAAGGCACCTGTGAAGGTGGTGGGACCGAAAAGAAGGCCTCTCCTGGTTATCAGAACACCTGGGCAGGCCTAGAAGTTTCCTGATGTCAACCCGTGGGCATGAGGCGAAAGAGCCTCCCTTGGGGCTTCTGGCCTCCTGAGAGCGACTGGTCTGCCCAGGCATTTCCTGCCTGGCCTCTGCCTTCCTAGCAGCTCAACTGGTTCCTCCAGGCAGAGAGAGGCTCAGGGAAGACCAGGCTGAGCACTTCCAGTGATGATGTTCGGGGAGGAAGCCTAGCTGGGTCATTGTGCCTGTCCACGGCAAGCTGGGGGGTCCCCGGTTCAGCCCCTGGCATTTCCAGGCAGGCCCTTGCCTAGAATATGAAGTAGCCCCTCCTGCCAGCCAATGCCCAAATGCTGAGCTTGAGACGTCCCCGGGGGACACGGCAGCCACAGGCAGGCAGAGCCAATGCTGACCCTCACCTCCCTTCACCCTGCCTCCCACAGCTGTCCAGGGCATGGTCCTTGGGAGGGTAGGCTCCTCCTGACCTCTCTGGCTTTCTTGTCCTTTCTTCCAAGCTCTTTGTGGGCTCCTGAGATGCACACTGAAGGCCCTGAAGCTAGATCCAGCCCAAAGCCCCCCCCCCGAGTCTCTTATTCCCAGAGTGGTGGGTGAGAGAACTACCTCTGCTAAGGACATGAGTGCTAGCACACCTGTTGCCTGCCCCCCCAGCTCCCCAGCAGCTGAAAGTGGGGCTAACACGTAGTCATAATCCCCAGATGATGTCTGACTATCAGCCAGCTATAATCTTCCCTCTGTGGGAAAGCCACCCAGTCTGGGTGGCCATCATCACATCCCGGGCAAGCCAACTCCACACTCCCAGACTTTGTGCAAAGAATACTTTCCCCTCCTGCACCCACCACCCTTCAGCTTCCTTGCCACCCCACCCCCCTGATCCCACTGGGTGGCAAGATTAACAGGGAGGAAGAGCTCCGCTCTGTCCATGCTTCCGCCCATTCCAGGCAGGCCTCCTCTGACCATTCGGCCCAGGCTACACCGTCTCTCTGGCAGCCCCTCCTTACCTGGTGGAGCTGCTGCTCACACATCTCTCTCCCCCCCTTTCCCTTATGCTCCATTTTCTCTCTTGGGGATATTCTATTGGGTCAGGAACCTCAAGTGGGGGGGGGGAACGCATCTCTTTTGTGGACTTTCAGTGGCACTGCACCGGCAGACATGGAGGTCTAGAGCCCCCCTCCTCTCCC